TTTTTTTTTTTTTTTTTTTGGTAATTAAAACATTTTATTTACCAAGTAATATTTACAAAGCAATTTTCCTTAGTCTGATCTTGGACATATATCCCCAGATTCAGACTATCACTCCCTACTATATTCCTAACTACACCCTACTTACAATTAGGATAGTAATCAAGAACTAGTAATCTACTCATCAACTTTTGTCTCATACTTCCTCTAACATGGATTTCCTGTACAAGATTCCTAACTATTACTTCGATGCTCCTTTCTTTCTTTTGAAATATCCTTGCATTCCTTTCTTGCCATATGTAATGTACTGTACCAGCTAGGGCCATTCTGTACACTTCTGCTACAGCATTCCTTCCATTGCAGTATTTTACAGCCCACACTAGTTCTTGTCCCCACTCCATTGCCTGTCTTTGAATTCCTTGCCATTGCAGCATTGTTCTCCAAGCTTTTGCTGAATAATCACACTTGAAGAATAGGTGATCAACTGTTTCCTCAGCTGCATTACAGAATATGCATTTTGTATCCTCAACACCTCCCCATTTGTTCAGCCTCTCCCTTGTTAGTAGTCTTCTATGAGCAGCCATTAATAATGTAAACTTCCATTTAGACAAACCTGCATTGTTACAAGTAAGTCTCCTCCATGGTACCTTGATAAACTCACCTCTGAATCTCATATACATTGTCTTGGTGGAATATTTCCCCATCTGCATGAACTCCTCTTCAGTCATCCCAGCTTCCTCCACCAGCTTCTTGGCCTTTATTATTTTTTGAACCACCCATGATGCCTGCTGTGGTATACTGCCTGCATTCACATGTTTCTTGTAGTAGAGATGTACCCATTGTATCCACATTTTGTCTTTCTTCTTATTAAGATTCCAAAGCAGCTTGCAAATAGCTGCTTTGTTCCAGCTTCCTACATCCAATATGTTTAAACCCCCTGCTACCTTTGGCCAACATAATCTGTCCCATGCCAGCAATGCCCTCTTTGTGACTTCTATATTTCCAGTCCACAGGAATCTCCTGCATATACTTTCTATTACCTGAATTACTTTCTTTGGCAACATGAACACCTGTGACCAAAATACTTGTATAGAAAACAATACACTCTTGATCAACTGGATCCTGCCTGCATAAGATAGGAATCTGGCTGTCCATGACTGTATTCTTCCCAGCATCTTCTCTATCAGTGGTTGACATTGTATCACTGAGATTCTCTTAGTACTCAGAGGGACCCCTAGATATCTCACAGGTAAAGTTCCTTTGCAGAATCCTAGAGCCTGCAGTATGTCCTGTTCAATCTCTTCACTTACTCCCCCAAAAAAGACTGCACTCTTACTTGTATTTGCAACTAGACCAGAAGTTTTAGAGAACTCTTGAAAGCATTGATAGAGAAGTTGTACAGAGATAGTATCACCTCTACAGAAGAGTAGCAAATCATCAGCAAAACTTAACTGTATTATACTCATCTTGGCACATTTAGGGTGATAGTTGAAGTTTGGCTCCTTCTTCAATGTCTTCAAACATCTTGTCAAGTATTCCATGGCTAACACAAACAAATATGGAGACAGAGGGTCTCCCTTCCTCAATCCCTTCCTTGCCTGAAATGGTGCTGTATGTTGTCCATTGATTGTGATAGAGTAAGACACACTCCTTACACACTGCATGATCCAGTGTATAAATCTCCCTGGCATTTGTAAATTCTGCAGAACTTGTTCCATATAATTCCAATCAATAGAATCATAAGCCTTTTTCATATCAATCTTCATCATGCACCTTGGTGACACTTCCTTCCTGCCATATCCCTTTACCAACTCATGGCTAAGTATAATATTATCATTTATCAGCTTTCCTGGAACAAAAGCAGATTGATTCCTATCTACTATATCCTCCATTATCCCTTGCAGTCTATTAGTGATTACTTTGGAGATCACTTTATATATAATAGTGCAGCATGATATTGGCCTATATTCAGTAATACTATTAGGATCCTTCACCTTTGGTATAAGAGTCACTGTTGTACAGTTAATGGGTTGGTACATCTCAGCTGTTGTGAAAAATTCCATTACTGCCTCTGTCACTTCCTTACCTATTACTGGCCATGCCTTCTTATAAAAGAAGGCATTAAAACCATCACATCCAGGTGCTTTGTTGTCTCCAATCCCCATCAGTGCTTCATAGATCTCCTCTTTGGACACATCTCTAGCCAGTTGAAGCTATTGTTGTCTGTTCACCAAGCCTCCATCTCTCATCACTGTTGGGTTTATAGCTGGTACATTTTCCTCTGAAGTTCCCAATAGTTGTTTATAGAATCCCAGTACTTCCTCTTCAATCTCCTTTTTTGTTTGTGCTATTGCTCCATTTCCTTTAACTAAGCTTCTTATTTTGTTCTGTGAGCATCTATTCTTCATGCTTGCATGGAAATATGATGTGTTGCCATCTCCTAGTTTCAGCCAATTCATTCTGGACTTCTGTTTCATGATGCTTTCTTCTATCCCCAACCATTTCTCTAATTGAGCTTTCATTTCTTTCTCTTCTAGTATTACCTCTTCCCTCTGCCCAGGATCTCTCATCTGTTTCTGCAATTCTGAAAGTTGTTGTCTGCAGCTGGTTATCTTCTTGTCTATTTCATTATACTCATCTCTATTAAGGTTCTTCATTGCTTGCTTTACCCTTTTCAATCTGCTCCATACATCCTTCATTTTGTTTTCCCCATTACCCTTTTGCCATGCTTCTTTCACTTGTA